AACGGAAATGAATAGAAAAAGAAAAAAACTAATGATTGCCTATGTATATTAATTATTTAGACTATTTACTTCGATCGAACTGTTGTCTCATCTGCATTGTCATATTCATGTTGTTTCGGCCGTTGTACTCTCCAGCCTTCTTCAGGTGATATATGTTGGAATTTCAAACCGAAACGTTTATTTTATCCACGAAGGTAAATTGTTCTAATTCCCCGTGCCAAGCCACTTCTGGATATTTCAGTATCAGTTATTTACCTTTAGTAACTCAACTCTCCCTCTGCTGTATTGAACTTACAAGATCTTGGGTCAAGTCACCTTTTGGGTTACTCAACGAACGCATTTATTCCCAAGGACACATGGCCCAGTGGATAAAAGTGTTGGCTGACTAATCCAAAGCGTGTCTTGACCCAAAGAGTTTTGAGTTCAATACTTGGTCATAGCAGAGGAAACAAAATCTTGTAGGGTTGATTAAAAGATGGGAGAAACAATCCGAATAAAAAGGAAATGAATAAAAAAAGAAATATGCTAGGAATCAAATCCTGAATCGAATGTGTATGTTTGAATGGGAGAAAAAAAATCTTTGAAAAGAAAAAATAAACTGAAAATCAAACAAGCTGAAGAGAATAAAAATATACGTAACTTCAGCCATTAAAGAATAATCCCTATTTTATTTGAAGACAAGGAAGAAGAAATGGCGCGAATACAGCAAAGATGTCGTCATAAAGACGTAATTATTTAGAAATCGTTTCACAGCAAGCAAGGCAGTAGTGCCACTAAAACGCTGAAGTGGTTACAGGTTGTGAAAGAAAATAAGAAGGATTTCGAAAGAACTGCAAAGAAGATAAGCTTTAGCTATGCTGATAAAAAGCGAAAACGGTTCAAAAGAGTGCAGTTTCGTTCTAAAGGCGTTAAAATTAACAAGCCATTTCTTGCCCCAGTTAATAACATATCGGAAGTCATTTTTGATATCACCTGCGAATTTGACCATATAGAAAGGATCAGCTTAATTTTTGTCATTTCATTTCACCTCAAACAAGGTGATAAAGCCTCTTGGTTACCGGGTGTAGTGAGTTAGAAGACTTTAGTGAGGAGAAAAAACAATAAAAGCAAACAGAAGATGGCGATAATGCTACTAAGACGCAAGGGGTTACTGGGAGTGAAAGAGAATAAGATTTTAGTGAGGAGAAAGGACAATAAAGAACAGGTTTCAGGAGGAGAAATGACAATAAAAGAACAGGTTTCAGGAAGACAGAAGATGTCAGGAGAAATGCCACTAAAGACAGGTTTATAAAAGACAGAAGTTTACCGCCACTAAGACGTAAGGGTTTACCGGGTGTAGTGAGTGAGAAGACTTTAGTCTGGAGAAAGGACAATAAAAGAACAGGTTTATAAAGACAGAAGATGGCGACAATGCCACTAAGACATAAAGGTTTACCGAGTGTGAAAGTGAGTGAGAAGACTTTAGTCAGGAGAAAGGACAATAAAAGAACAAATATCAAGAAGACGGAAGATGGTGATAATGCCACTAAGACGCAAGGGGTTACTAGGAGTGAAAGAGAACGAGAAGATATTAGGAAGAAAAAGGACAATAAAAGAACAGGTTTTAGGAAAACAGAAGATGGCGATAAAGCCACTAAGATGGATCCTGACGAGAATTTTTTCTGGGACTACACAAAAATTTTCTTGCAGTAGACGAAGTAATTGATTCGATATAATGCCTCCGATTCTTGTCAGTGGAAACAACGTAAAGCCAAGAAGGCTTAGTGTGTTGCATGCCTCGAGTTTAGGATCAGCCATGCTGATGTCCAGTCCGAAAAGGTTCTCGGTGGAGATTAAATGAAAACAGATTTATTTTGGTGGTCTTTGCAAGCCATTTCTTGCACCGGTTAACAACTGATTGGAGATCATTTTCAAGAGCATTTGTCAGGTATATTTTGTCAGATTTGGTGGATTTGCAACTAAGATAGGAGTAAATGGTATTACCTAGTTGGTGAAGATCAGAAACAGCGTAGGTTCCAGAATTGTGCCATGGCCATGTGGGGCTCTCGCATTCGTAAGAAAAGATCTGGAAGCGAGTCCGTTCAACATGGACTTCATTACACGAGTTTTGAGGTACGATTGTATTAAGCCAGATATTTGCACTATTTACATTATTCGGACTATTGTCCTCATCTTGTTGACATATTTATCACAACGTTTCGACCGTTGTACGCTCAGACCTTCTTCAGGTGTTTGGAATGTCGAACTGAACGCTTAATTTCGTTCGCTGGGGTAGACCGTTCTAGTTCTACGTGCTCTGTCTAATGGATGTCAGTTATCAGTTATCTCGAATATTCATGAACTTAAGAATCAGCACATATGCTAGACCACAAAAATCTCCTGAGCCAAACAAGCATAGAAATGAATACAATATGTGAAACCTGTAATAAAGATTGCAAAAGAAAAGCAATAATAAGAACGAAAAAATTGCAATATGACCTCTGGTAAAAGAAAAACATGCATTGATAACAGCAAAAATTGCAATATGAGCACTGATAAAAAAGGTTATTGAAGACATTAGGTTTATAAGTCCCAGAAATTCATACACAGATGTCCTTAAGGACACATGGCACAGTGGATAAAGGCGTTGGTTAGACCAATGACAGGACTCAAAGAGTTGTGAGTTCAATACCTGGTTAAAAACAGTGGAGAACTTGGAGAGGGGAATTAACAGGAGATAACTGAAAACTGACATCCATCAAACATGGCACGAGCGAGAACAGCCTAAACCATGTGACAAATATGGCAACAAAGATGAGGACAATAGTCCGAATAATGTAAATAGTGTACATAATACCTCATCTCAGAAATATAGACAGATACTGAAGGGTGATAAATATGGCAACAAAGATGAGGACAATAGTCCGAATAATGTAAATAGTGTACATAATACCTCATCTCAGAAATATAGACAGATGCTGAAGGGTGATAAATATGGCGACGAAGATGAGGACAATAGTCCGAATAATGTAAATAGTGTACATAATACCTCATCTCAGAAATATAGACAGATACTGAAGGGTGATAAATATGGCAACAAAGATGAGGACAATAGTCCGAATGATGCAAATAGTGTACATAGTACCTCATCTCAGAAATATAGACAGATGCCAGATATATTCCACACAATCCTAATCAGTAGAATTCTAAGAGAGATTCTTGATAGAATGGAAAGAATAAAGTAGGACGTTATTGGTCCAGATTTGGTATGTTGCTTTCAGTCACATTCCATTTTGTGAATACATTCAAGGTAAAAGATCTGATGAACTTCTCCCTATGGTGCCTTATCGATATGAATTTAATCACAGTAATAGATTGGTAATAAACTCTAATTACTGATAACGAGATATAACGGTAAGTTCTAAGCTAACAGTTACTTTTATCCTACTACTCGCTTTTGGATCTCTTTTCCGGATTCTTACTTTCCAGACTACTTTCATATTTAAAAAATCAAATGCAATGTCAATCTTTATCTTCTGTCTTCTTAATTCCTCTTCTTTTATTGTCCTTTCCCCTCACTAAGGTCTTCTAATTCTCTTTCACTCTTCTTACTTTCCAGTCAACTTTGATCTTCAAAAATTTCAATGCAATGTCAATCTTTATCTTCTGTCTTCTTCTAATTCCTCTTCTTTTATTGTCCTTTCTTCCCCTCACTAAAGTCTTCTTTTTTAATTCTCCCTTTAAAGTCTTCTTCTTCACTTTCCAGTCAACTTTGATCTTCAAATATTTCAATGCAATGTCAATCGTTATCTTCTGTCTTCTTAATTCCTCTTTTCTTTTATTGTCCTTTCCCCTCACTTAAAGTCTTCTAATTCTCTTTTATTGTCCTTTTCACACTCTTCTTACTTTCCAGTCAACTTTGATCTTCAAAAATTTCAATGCAATGTCAATCGTTATCTTCTGTCTTCTTAATACTCTTCTTTTTTTATTGTCCTTTTCTTCAAAAATTTCTCACTAATGTCATCTAATTCTCTTTATTTCCCCTCTTCTTACTTTTTCAGTCAACTTTGATCTTCAAAAATTTCAATGCAATGTCAATCGTTATCTTCTGTCTTGTTGTCCTTTTTTTTTTGCTCTCTCTCTCTCCCCTTAATTGTATTTTTCTCATATTCTCCAACACTTAGTAACCTTCTGCGTCTTAGTGGCTTTATTCTCTTGCTTGTAGAGAAATGATTAAAAAATAATAAAAACAAGCGAGAAAAGAAAACGGATAATTTCAGAAAACAACTCAGAGAAAATGGTTAGCAGGAAAGAAAAAAGTTTATATTTAGAACGATTGCTTGAAAGTCATAATGGAGTTGGGGAGAGGGATAGTAACGGACAGAAAATGGCGGAAGGGTAAAAGAAGGGTATGTTATGGGGCTTAATGCAATACTGTTTGATGAAATTATTTATTTTCGGGAATTACCGAATTAATTTAGCGGCTAATCAAGTCGATTTGATAAGTGACCTATCGGTCTGCTTGTCCTTCCAATATCACGTACCCTGGGGATGATCAAGTGTCTCATTAAAGCACATGTCGCATGGTTTGTTGGAGACGGCGTTGTCTGATGGGCCCTCACCTCACGGCTCGCGACGACAAGCCCAGTCAACACCGCCAACCAAACCATTTCTAACAGGTACAGAGGCGAAGGAAATTATGATTATTATGATGGATATAATGTTGTGGATGACGAGGAGAAGGGCAACGACTAGGGAAGCGTGAAGTAGGAAAAGAAGGAAAGGTTGTCAGAAAAGCGTGCGAAATTGAATTATATGGAAAGAAAGAAAGAAAGAAAGAAAGAATGAACGGGAGAATGAATAAATTAAATTAAATAGAAAGAAAGGGACAAAAATTAGGAGAAGAAAGAAAGAAAGAAAGAAAGAAAGAAAGAAAGAAAGAAAGTGATAGAAAAATAGATAGACGATAAAAAAAGAAAGAAAGAAAAAAGAAAAAGAGAATGAATGGGAGAATCAAAAAATTAATTTAAATAGAAAAAAGGGACAAAAATAAAGAGATGAAAGGAAGGAAGTAAAGAAAGAAAGAAAGAAAGAAAGAAAGAAAGAAAGAAAGGCATAGAAAAACAGATAGACGGTAAATAAAGAAAGAAAAAAAAGAAAGAAAGAAAGAAATAGAAAAAACAAATAAATTGAATTAAATTGAAAGAAAGAAAATGATATTGAATTGTTTCGAAAGAAAGAAAGAAACGGAGAAATAGAAAGAAAGAAACTGAATTAAATGGAAAGAAAGAAAAGAAAAAAACAACATTGAACTGATTCAAAAGAAAGAAAGAAAGAAAGAAAGAAAGAAAGAAAGAAAGAGATGACGGGAAAGAAAGAAAGAAAGAAAGAAAGAAAGAAAGAAAGAAAGAATGAATGAATGAATGAATGAATGAACGGGAGAATGAATAAATTAAATTAAATAGAAAGAAAGGGACAACAATAAGTAGAAGAAAGAAAGAAAGAAAGAAAGTCATAGAAAAATAGATAGACGGTAAAAAAAGAAAGAAAGAAAAAAAGAAAGAAAAAAGAAAGAGAGAATGAATGGAAGAATCAAAAAATTAATTTAAATAGAAAAAAGGGACAAAAATAAAGAGATGAAAGGAAGGAAGTAAAGAAAGAAAGAAAGAAAGAAAAAAAGAAAAGAAAGAAAAAGAAAGAAAGGCATAGAAAAAAACAGATATTTAAAAAAGAAAGAAAGAAAAAAAAGAAAGAAAGAAATAGAAAAAACAAATAAATTGAATTAAATGGAATGAAAGAAAATGATCTTGAATTGTTTCGAAACAAAGAAACGGAGAAATAGAAAGAAAGAAACTGAATTAAATGGAAAGAAAGAAAGAAAGACAAGAAAAAACAACATTGAAGTGATTCGAAAGAAAGAAAGAAAGAAAGAAAGAAAGAAAATGAAAACAACAAAGTGAAGAAAAAAAATGTTGTAAACCAGAAAAAAATGAAAATAAGAATGAAATGAAAGAGGCAAAATGAAATGGAAAGAAAGAAAAACATGAAAATAAACAAAAAAGAAAAACAAAGAAAGAAAGAGAAAAAAGGAACAGAGTGAAACAAAAGGGAAAAAGACAAATAGAAAGAAAGTAAAAGATATTAAATAAAGTGGAAAGAAAGAAGGGAAAAATGAAAGAGAGAAAGAAAGAACAGAAACAATACAATTAATGGAAAGAAAGAAAGAAAGAAAGAAAGAAAGAAAGAAAGAAAGAAAGAAAGAAAGAACGGGAAAAGGACAAAATGAAAAAGTGAAAAAAGGTTGTAATCAAGGCAAAGTTGCAAAAAATAAGAAACAAATAAAAGAGGAAGAAAGAGAAAATAGAAATAGAAGGAAAGGCGAGGGTTAGGGTTAGATAACAAACAAGAAAAAAGAAACAAAAAGAAAGAATGAATTAAAGAATAAAAAAAAAACTAGAAAATGAGAAATGAATGGAATGAAAAAAGAAGAGAGAAAGAAATTTATAAAAAAAATAAACACAGAAATAGAAAAATGGAGAATCGAATAAAAAATGAAAAAAAAAAAAAAAAAGAAAAAAAAGGAAAATGAAAATTAAGAAAAAAAAAGGGAAGAAAATGAAAAAAATGGAAAAAGAAAAAAAAAAGAAAGAAAGAATGGAAAGAAAGAAAGAATGGAAAGAAAACATCAAATGGAAAGAAAAAGAAAGAAAAAAGAAAGAAAAAGATGAAAGAAAAGGAATGAAGGAAAGAAAGAAAGAATGGAAAGAAAGAAATAAAAGAAAGGAAAAAGAAAAGAAAGGAAGAAAGAAAGAAAGAAAGAAAGAAAGAAAGAAAGAAAGAAAAAAGAAAGAAAGAATGGAAAGATGGAAGGAAAAGACAGAAAAAAAAAATGGAAGAATAAAAAGGAAAGGTGAATATAAAGAAAAAAGAAAGATGGAAAGGAGGAAAAGAAATAAAGATTGGATGGAAGGAAAAGCTCCAATGTGGAAAAGAAAGGAAAGATGAAATAAAAAAGTAAAACGATTTAAACGGAAAGGGAAAGAAAGATAAAATACAACAAAAGAAAATGTGAAAAAAAAATAAGAAAAGAAAAGAAATGACGAAGTGTAAATTGGCGATTGAAACGCAAAAAAAAAACAGAAATGAAGAGAAGAAGGAAGGATGAAAGAAAAAAAGCAAATGGAAGAAGAAACCTGAAAGCAAATCAATCAAAATGTATAAAGAAAAAGGAAGATTTTGATTGAAGGGTTAAAAGAGCAGCTAAATGAGGCATCAGTTTCTCTCGAACAAGCAATGAAAGTTTGCAATCAAAATGGAAATAAAGTTAAAAAATCAAAAGGATAAAAGTTCATCTAAAACAAAAGGAACCACAGAAATGGAATATACCATAATTTTAAGATTCCTTCAAATATTTTACCATTAAAAGTCCAATAAAAAATGAGATAAAATAAACGAGAAAGATGAAGATCAAAAAAAAGCTGTGAACCATCACATATTTTGATGACGTAAAACGGTGTTTTTTAAACGGAGAAAAAAGGGAAAAAGCAGAGCAAAAAAAAAAATACAACAAAAAGAAACTATATATATATATAACAATTATATAATATATATAAAAATATATATATAAATATATATAAATGGATGAAGAACTGCAAGAAATGACTATTTATTTTATGTAAATTTTTTCATGTAAATTATCGATTGAAACGCAAACTCAGTCGCTCGAAACTGGAATGGGTAGAAATGAAGAGAAGACAGGAGTCTGTTAAATTAAAAAATCTAGTAAAACTTCAAGCAAGCAGCTGCATTGCGATTTGCAAAAAAAAATATAGAAGAAACCTGGGAGATTGAAACAAAGCAATCAATGATTGTGTCAATAATGAAAGTTCATTTTTTAGGCATTTAAAAACAACATATGACGCCGAGTGCCTTTTCGAAAACACAATTATTTTAAATTGCCAAAAAACAAAAAGGGTTCAAACAGTTAAAAAATTCTAAACCCTATCACCTTCAGCGTCTTATAAACACGTGTTTATCGTTGCTTTTCTCTCTAAAACAAACAGAATGAAATCTTTTGCTTAATATATTGTACAGTAATTGAAATCTTTGAAAATGGAAATAAAGTCCTGATTTAAAAAACAAAATTCACATAACAAATATCTTACTTTAGTAAAGACAATAAACAAAAGGCTTATTTAATCAACCACAGCTGGTAAAATGGAACTACCATAATTTTAAGATTCCTTCTGCAATATTTTACCATTACCAGAGTCTATATATGGATCAGGACTAAACATATAGAATTATATCATATATAGCAGCATAATATATGGGAACGATACAATTGAGCTGCTCAGGGTTTTTCAAAATCATCAAATTCTGAGAGAACCATCGTTTTATCGAAAATATTTTATTAAGTATACTTCACTTTTTCCGAGAGCAACCGAAATGATTTTTCAGGAGGATATATATATATATATTAATTCATTTCACCCGACGTCAGTTTGTCAAGCTACTAAGATGCAAGGGCTTACGGAGTGTTAGAGAATATGAGAAAAACTACTATCAAGGAGAGAGGACAATGAAAGAACAAGAATTAAGAAGACAAAAGATAACGATTGACATTGCATTTTAATTTTGAAGATTAAAGACAATAAAGCCACTAAGGAAGAGGTCATGTGTGTTTTAATATGAGAAAACTACTATTAAGGAGAGAGGACAATAAAAGAATATATTTAAATATATATTAATGATTAACATTGCATTTAAATTTTGAAGATAAATATAGGGACAAAAGGCTTACTGAGTGTTAGAGTCTATTTAAGGAGAGAGGACAATTTTAAGAAGACAGAGGATAAATTGACATTGCATTACAATTTTTCAAACGTTTAAAATATGACAGGGAGCAGGATCCAGAACATATAGTTTAGAAGTATATAATATATATATATATATTATATAACGAAGAATGAAAATATATTAATATTGATCCATATTTTCACTGATCCATTCTAGAGCCTTAATTTCATTATTTAAAAAAAAAATAAGATGCCATTATCAAAGAGTTCTTACGTTTCAAAACAGAACCTAAAACTTAAATAATATATATTTAAATATATATATATATTGGGAAGAACAGTTTTGGCAATTTATTTTATAAATGCCTGCTTCAGAAATATTATTGCTATTAAAAAAATATATATATATATATATATGAAGAAATTTTGAAAAAACAAACAAAAATCCTAAATGTATAAATGAAAGAAATGTCGACGTCTGACGTTTCGGTTTAATAAACCTTTTCAAGACAATATTCTTACAATTCAGTTAGACAAATGATGGACATAAAAAAAAAGTCTTATTCAGAACAGATAATGAAAATTTTAAAATGAATCCGTCTAACATGGTCACGCCGTCGTCACATGGGCGACGCTTTCATAACGTATTCCTAAAAGTTTGTGATTATTTTGAAATGAAAAGAAAATGAAATGAGATTGATGCTCGACAAGCATACACATAAGAATTTTAGAACCTAATAGAATTCTTTTCATTTTCTTTTTTTTTTTTTTTCTTTTTATTGCCTTTGATCTTGAAAAATTTCAATGCAATGTTAATCATTATCATCTGTCTTTTAAATTCCTGTTCTTTTATTGTCATTTTAATAGTAGCATATTAACTAACAACATGACCCTTGCGTCTTAGTGGCTTTACTTTAATCTTCAAAAAATGAAAATGAGATTGATCCTTGTAAGAATTTTAAACCTAATAGAATTCTTTTTCATTTTCTTAAACATTTCAAAATAATCACAAACTTTTAGGAATACGTTAAAACGTAAAAACGGCGTGAACCATGTTAGACGGAAGGCTGATCATTTTAAAATTTTAGTTATCTGTTCTGAATAAACAGTTTAATGTCCATCGTATTTGTCATATTGAACTGAATTGTATTTTGATGAATATGTCTTGAAAAAGGTTTATTGTCCGGGAAACGTCAGACGTCGACATTTTCATTTTAACTACCATTTTTGTTTGTTTTTTCAAATTTCTTCATTCCAACGGAATTATATCCATTTACACTTGCTTATATATATATATATATATATATATATATATATATATATATATATATATATATATATATATTCATTTCACCCTACGCCAGGTTATAAAGCCAGTAAGACGCAAGAGTGTCTCAAGTTTTGGAACATGATTAACAGAATGAAAAAAGATTAACAGAATGGAAAAAGATTAACAGAATGAAAAAAGATTAACAGAATGAAAAAAGATTAACAGAATGAAAAAAGAAGATAACGATTGACACTGTGTTTAAATTTTTGAGGATCAAAGTTGACTGGAAAGCAAAATTCGAATAGATTTCAAAAAAAAAAAAAACTGCTAGCATAGACAGTTACATCCAGTTGTTTCAACTGCAAAATGATGACACCATTTCGCGAATCTATTACTGCTTAAATTCATAAAGTCTAGTTACCATTGAGGAAATTTCATCAAAACCAGT